CCCAGTATAACAACATGTTTTTCATACAATTCCAAAATTTCTTCAAAAGTTTCTCTTACTACACCAACAAATGATCCTCTAAGATCTAAACCAAAAGCATCAATTGGATTTGCATCTGTGATTTAATACAGACATATCAGATAACCAGAGGCAACATATCATTCTATTTAGAGAAATCAAATTGGAGGGGAGTAATACTATGTTTTATATGGGTCACTTTTATGCATACAAAGGGTAACGTTTGTGCATACAAAGGGTAACGTGTTTGCATACAAAGGGTAACATCTGTGCATACAAAAGGGTAACATTTGTGCGTATAAAGGGTTATTTTTATGCATAAAAAGGGTAACATTTGTGCATTCAAAGAGTTACTTTTTTGCAAACAACCTGAATTTTCTCAAGACTAATTCGTGGTAACTTTTATCAATGTTGCATTCATATAGGTAACATAAGTTCATATAAAAAATAACAATTATTGATCAATTATAGAATATTGATGAATTTTGATTAATTAGAAGGTGATTGATTGTATAGAAGTTACCTTCAGTTGCATTTGATTTGGATGTTTGTTCTGAATTTGAATCAATTGATTTACGAGGAACCATCTGATTTTCTGCATTGTCAATTGCTTCTTCTGCATTGTCAATTTGATTACCTCCAGTGTTAGGATTGTTATTATCGTCAAAAATTGGAACAAATTCATCTCCAAAACTCTTTGTTTCTTCTTCTTCTTCTATAATCGATCTATTTAAATCAATTTCAACAAAAGAATTTGAGTTCTCAAAATCACCTAAAAATGGAGTTTCAATTTGCCTCTGTTTTTGTAGAAATTCGTGGATCAGATTACTGCAATTTGAGGTATTGAAGTTCGTTGATGAATTCTCCATTGATGATCGAAGCCCTAAGGTACTTGTTTTTGCGATTTCTCTCTACATGTTTTCACTTTCTCTCTCCTCCATTTTTGTTCTGCTAACTTTAAGGCCTGAAATTTTCGCGCGTTTTGTTATAGAAAAAAAATAAAAAAGTAAATTAGCTCGCACATGCGCCACCGCCGATTTACAATAAATTAATTGTAAACCGGGAGCATGCAAAACTTGTTTAAAAAATTATGGTAGTAAAAAATCATAAGACTGTGTTAGAATCATTTATTTTCCAAGGGGAATTTGGAGAGCCGAGGATCTCTCGACGAGTGGGTGTGCGTGGATAATTGGTTCCGGTAATGCCGTCAGAAAATTGAATCTGATATCTCTTTCTGAAATAGTGATTAAGTTTAGCTAGTCTGCATTTCAGTTGCTACAATGGCGGATGAAGCAAGCAGAACAGTATGTTAATGCTTAAATTTTAGCATATTTTAGTATATTTTTAAAATTTTGAAGAAAATGTTACCCTAATTTATGTAATATGTGAATTGTTTTGGGCATTGCTAATTTGAGATTTATATGTGAACAGTGTGATTGATTTGTCTCGAATTTTGCTGCCTTGTTCTTATCATGATTTATTGTTTCATTTTGCTACTTAATTGCATTCAGTGTTATGGATTTTTCCTCTGGAAAGAAAAGATTGGTTTTATGATTTTTTTTATGGTTTTTGTCTTTGAATAATATGTATATTCGATATTCATTTCTATAACTTGTGCTTGTCTATAACCATACTAGTAGAAAAAGACGAAGGGATTTGAATGAAAGAAGAATATGAATATTTGAGATTTGGCTGGATGCCTGTATGTTATATTTGTGCTTAAGTGGAGCTTTTAGCTCCTAAGTGAACAAAATGCTATTTGTATCTATTTCTTTCATTGGAAGGTTTGGAGCTATGTTATAGACATGTTACTGTTGTTTAATGATTGAATTAGTTATTTGACTATGTGGAATTGGAATTTGTACCTATGCTCAGGCATAATATGGTTGGAATTAGGTTATTAGTAGTTCGATTAATATTGGTAGTCAAAAATAGAAAAAAGAAGGGGTTCAGAAAAGGAGAGTGTGAAGTTTTAGTGTTACATCCCTTTCCACCCAGTGTTTGAAAAAGCACGCCTAGGCGCTGAGGCGCAAGGCGATTAGGGGTGAGCGCTTAATTTGGTCTAGGCGAGGCGTTTTGGTTTAGGCGCACAAAAAGTGCCCGAGGCACACCAAAAGCGCCCGAAGCGCACCTAAGGCGCACTTGAAGCAAACTTCAGCCAAAAAATTTTAACTGCCCATATACTGCGCCCATTTCAAAGAGGCACACTGAGGCGTGCCTTAGGCGCAACAGAACCCCTCTTGCTTCAGAGCACCTTGAGCTTTTTTATACACTATTTCCACCACGTTTATCCGGTGTACAAGGATTTAGGAAGGAGTTATAGTGGTGTATTGTAGATTAAAGTTGAATAAAAAATAAATAATAAAAATAAAAAAAGGAAGGTAATGGGATAGTTTACTGTTTTGAGGAAGAGAGGGAAATATAAGGGTTGGAGGGGTTTTGTTGATTAAAAATGAATAAAAAAGATTAATAAATGATGGACTCCGACTGAATAAATAATGAGACTTTTATTTTGGGAGAAATGAAGCTTATTTAAGGACAAGCGGAGTAGAGATATTCAAAAGCTTGATGTTACCACTCCTTAGAGGCTTGCTTCCCAAAGGTCAAGTGACATAGGTGTTTAGATGATTTGGGAATTGTGACGGCCTCATTCCCTTTGTAGATTGTATTTCATAATTCTTTTTTCCCTCCAAATTTTTATAAAGATGATTAGGTTATTTAAAGAACTTAGATTCATTATTGTTGTGCAAATGGTACGGACATCCTGAACTCCCTAATATGTTTTATTTGGTGGAGTTTCAGTCAATGGTGAAAAAAGAATTTTAGCGGGTCATTTCCAAGAAGATCGCCTGACATGGCACACGCACACCTCTGGGCCCTCTAACCTAGCATGCTAAATCTGGAATTTGGACTTTAAATTGCATACAGTGGTAAACTGGTAATAGTACCTGTTACAAAGCTTCTACAATGTTTTATGCTGTCTGTCCATTAGCTAATGCAACCCTTGCACCAGGGCTTGGCATTAGCCATGCCAAGCGAAGAACTGGCAGCATAGTGTTAGAATCCAACTCTCTTTGAATGTATTTGAAGCTGTCTAGGCCTTTTACTTAAGTTTTCTAGGCCTTAGAGTAAATTATTATTTGGGAAAACAATGTAATTCCAAAGAGAAGCTTTGTAGGAGGCAATGTTGATAATATCTGAGCTTCCTTGACTCCACTCTTGTCGCCAACAGGCCAGAGTACCCATCAAACTCGTCTATAGAATGTGTTGCTTCGTGCTGACAAGCCATTTCTGCACTTGGTTTGTGCCCTCGTTGCCAATAGACGAGAGAGTGCTACACAGATCGTGTCATAACACTTGACCGTCACACATAGGTAGATATGTGAAGCAATCTACATATCCTTCTCCATATCCTATCACTCATCCTGTTACTCTCCAAAATCATGTTATGAGGAATGAGGAACTTGTTTAGTCTGATATGTTCATTGGTACATGTCTTTTATAGTCTGATGTTAGCACTAAATAACTTGTGACTCATCTTAAGTGCTCCCTATCAAAATTTCCCCTCTAGTACATTAGTTTCATGGGCTGCAATTTGTCTATCATGCTTTTGTATAGTTAAATATAACCATGTTCTATGATCTATATAGGTGCAAAACCAAATTTGATCTAAACAAACAGAAAAGAAGCGTTCTTACTTGACCTTGGAGGAGTTGCGACAAGTGACTGATGACACGAATACTTACAAATCAATTGGTAAGTTCAATATCAATATAAGTTCTTGATACATGAATTGAACCACATGTCAGTAACTTTTGGGGTGTGGTGCAGTTTGGGACCTATGTTCAATTGATATGCGACTGCTGTATTGTTGGTTGATTGTTTACCTTATAGATATTTGTAATTATAAGTGTTTTTGTTTCCTTTGTAATGCAGGAAGAACGTGAGTGTCCTCCTTGGCTTACAGAATCTATGGTTGTAAATCCTCAACAATATTTTGCCAAAATCGGTCTTGATGGATGAGCAGGAACAGAAGTTCTAGGATAGTGACTGCAATAGCTTCTTTACAGGTTTTTATGCTTAATTTCTTGTTTGTTTTCTACCTTCTCAATTAGTCTTTCACTTGTTTGGTTTTCAGTTTATCGTTTTTCAAATCGTTGATTAGTGTCATATTAGCAAGACCACCTAGCTATATTTCAGAAATTTATCCTAATTTCAGTTGAATGTGTTCATTTATAGAGATTACTTTGTTGCTGGAGATTTTAACTTGATGCGTTGTCTTTATATTTGGTGATTGACTACTAAAGAGTACCTGGAGAAGCAGATGAGGGAAGTGGAAATTAACATGAAGGGGAGCTGCTGCAACAAGATCCTGGGCTCGCCAGTCAATTATGTCCCTTTCAGTAATGTAAATCTCACACTAGAGAATCATCTTTTAACCCTGTTTTTCTTTTCTAAAGTCTTTTGGTTTTGTTTTGAATTGCTTAAATGGGTTCCATTATATTTATAAGATCGTATAAAATTTTTTCTTATATGAACTCTTGAATGTGAGCTTTTCTTATAGGATCTCTGACTAAAGCTGTGCTTTTGGCATCACCCAATTGGAAATCAAAAAGGATAAAAGCTTAACATTTTCAGTACCTAACACACCATAATTTGACTGATTTCCATAGAAAATGCTTAAAGAGATCAAAATTTCATAAATCCGTGACTTTTTTACAAAATTCCCTACCTACCGTCCACGTCAACGTCTTTAAATTATTTTTTCCTGGTTCACAATAAAACCTCTAATTGAATTAGCGGCTTATATAGCGGTTCATTAAACTATAATTGCTGATTCAATTAACGGTTTCATGCTTTTTAATTAAAAAAAATCCCGGATTATTTAGCTAATGTGGACGATGTGTAGGGAATTTTGTAAAGCAGCATAATTGTGGAATTATGGTTTGTTTAAGCAATTTTCACAGAAATCACTCCTGTAATTTCACAAAATGCCCTTAAAATAAGTGAAACTTGTAATGTGGGCTGACTTTTGGAAGTTACCCTTTAGAAGTTACCTCAGTAACCTTACATTGACAAAGATAAGTAAACTAGAGCATAAAATTCGATTATAGCCAACAAAGGATGATTTATTAATTTGCTTCTACATCCTGTGACGTTTAGCAGCAATACACTATAGATACTAATAGCTTGTGACCAATCTCTCTTGGAGTTCCAGTGAGTGTGGCTATTGTATGGCTGATCTTTGTGCTTGTGCACGGCGATATTCACTAAGAACCCATATGGGGAAAATACACCTGTAAGATGAATATTCGATTATGCAGCTCTTCATGAATATTCCAGTGCTTTCCTGTATAAAGTTACCATAGGTCTTAGATATCATGGATAAGAAGTAAAACTGTGTACTGTGACTCAAGTTAAATGAGAATCTGGGTTTTTAACTTGAAATTCATGTTGCCAAGGCAAATTCTTTTATAGAGGAACAGTCTATTCTTACCACAAAGAATAGCCTTGGTCCTTGGATACAAGAAGTTTCACCTTGGAACATTTTTTACATTATTATATTGGTTAGTAATACTTTTTCTGTCTCTTAATAGAACTCTCATTTACTACAATTTTGTGGTTTTAAAAGTCCCTTTTTTTTTCTTTTTTTTTTTTATTTTTTATTTTTTTATTTATCAATATCCACTTTTTTATTCATCTTCAAATAACTAAACATTACTATTTTTACTTTACAATTAATCAACTTAACCGCTTATCATTTTTTAAATTCACTCTTGAGTGAATGAGACTTTTATTTAGGGATGGAGGGCTTACACACCATCTTAAGAGATAATACTCTTTTTTTTTTTTTTTCCTTTTCGGCTCACAATAATTTTTTGAATTAGAACTAAGAAGTGTCTAAGGTAACTAATTGAATTAACGGTTCATTGAATAAAATCGCTAATTGAATTAGCCGTTTATTGAATAAAATCGATAATTGAATTAGCATTTTTTTTTTTTTTACCATGAACAAAACTGCTATTCATATAGCGGTTTACCTTTGTTGATTTTCTTAAAAAAGCAAAGCATATTTTTGGTTATAGTTAATCAGTAATCTTATTAAACTAAAATCTGCTTAATAGGAGTTAGTGGTTTTACAATTCTTTTTGTTTATAAAAGAGTCCACTAAAAGGTGCATAATCAAGGAATTTTGATATCGTCCAACTTTTTTAATGAATTTGAAAATTGTTCCTTCATATAATATCTAATCTCTTAATTGTATTTTATTTCCTTTATGACAATCTTTTATTCGTATTTAATCATCTTTGACCCCACCTCTTGGGGTCCTATTATACTTAATACAGTATATCTTTTGCTCTCTTGAGGTTGAGTTCTCTTTGATTTATGTTGCTGCAGCCTGCAGTAAAACTCAAGAATTGGAGGTAATATTATTGAATATCAAAACTGATTTATTTTTAGAATAAAACCTTGTAATTACCTGCGGCGGGAAGTCTCCATTTTCCATCTGTGAGTTGATTACCAACCTCATCCCTCGGTCTACGGGGTCGGGATTTACTTCCCACTGTTACATTGTGAACCATTTGGGTTAACCATAGTTTTAAGTTTGCTGGCATTTTTTAAGGTGCAATAGGAAATGTAGGATAGAGTACCCAATTTGTTTCTCACATGTCATTTTCGTAAATAAACCAACAACTTTATTCAACTTTATTTAATTGTGAGCCCACAATAATGAAAAAGTTGATTTATTCACGAAAATGCCCCCATGAGAAACAAATTTCGTTTCTCAATATGAGAAACAGGGAATTTCCCAATACATTTATACTCACCTGCCCTGCTCTAATGAGAGTTAACAATGCCCATGAAGTTTGCACCAGATTTGACTTGTTCCCTTTTAGGTTTGTATAAACCTGTTCCACAATCCCAAAAACGAGGGCTGATGCACAAATCTAGACTTAAAGGGAAAACTCGGGACAGACTTAAAGGGAAAACTCGGGAGAGAGGGGAGTGGATTAGAGTACCTCGTTTGAGCTTGAGAGGTAGCTTTCGCCCCACCCGCCATTAGGCAATTGCTTTGAGAGTATAAACTCACATGCCTTTTTCACAGCCTGACTATTATGGTAGTTTTTATTACACCTTAGTAGTGCCTCCACTGCAAACCATGTTCCATAGGTAAAACAAATTCCCCAAAAACCATACCTATCCTCACACAAACAAACCCAAAAGAATTCACTCTCAATTCTGCAAGTGTATTTTTCTTAGATAGAAAATTCAAATGGATGAATGTAAAGAAAGATACATTCGAGATAGAAATCAAAATTGCATTACGTGTGTACGAAACAATGTCAGTTTTTTTTTTTTTTTTTTTTTTTTTTTAAATTTTAAAATACGAAAATCATATCTCAATTAAAAATAAGCAGTACGAAAATTATATACTCCATATGTACCAAGAACCATCAGGGTTTTGAGCCCTTTCAATGTATTGAATTCCTCTGGAGATGGAGTCTTCTATTTCTTTGGTCCTGTGATCTGGGTATTGCTCCTTGAAGAGTGTAAAAGCTTGTATTATTGAGGAAGTGCACTCAACATGTCTATAATAACAGTAAAATCAAGATTATATTCATTAAATTAGAAAAGTTTAGTTTTGTTTGTTATTTTCTTAACTCTACAACTGATTGTCTTGGCCCGGTCTATGATCATCTCTAGTTAACTACCATAGTATTAGGGTGGTTTTTTTTCTTCTCCTGAATGGACTACCATAGTATTAGGCTCTGTTCATTTCACCTTAAAAAATAGGTATCAGTAAAAATAATTTCAGTTTAGTAACTATAAGTTCAGTTTAGTAAAAATAATTTCAGTTCAGCAAGAATCAATAACTTTAAAGAAGAAATATAACAGACAATCAATAATAATAATTTCAATTCAGCAAAAATAATTTCAATTCAGTAAAATTAATTTTGGCTTAGTATAAATAATTTAAGTTTAGCAATAATAATTACATTTCATTAAAAATAATTTCAATTTAGCAAAAATAAGATGAATTAACCGGGCCTTAGTTGATAACTATAGAGTATGAAAAAAGTTAGCAATAGAAGCTTACTCTCTTTCGATTAGAACATCATCGAAGAGCTCTGTAGGATTGAATTTCTGAAATTAGACAATTACATCTCATTAGAAATTATTAAATTAAGTGGAATTCAACTTAATCGTATTATGATAGAAGAAGTTGGTTATACCTCAATCCAACGGTATGTTCGCTGAGGCTCCCAAGCTGTGAAACCACCATTCTCACCCTATAACATTAGGATAGGATAAGAGGCATGGAATAATCTCTATATATACTAGCAATTTATTGTATATTGCTAATATAATTATATTTGAAACTTATCGAAACTTATGTAATTATATTGTTTGAAATTATGAACGTGCCTAAACTTAGCAGATACCATTTTGTTTGAAATAAGTCAAAATAAACAAAATAAGTCAAAATAGGTAGAGGTAAACATAATTTAAGTAGTTAAACCTGAGGAATCGCAATAAAACATATACTTGTATGTTGAAGATGGTCTCTAATTTAAATATAATTGTACAAGGGGGAGAAAAGAAAATACGTAATACTACTACGTATAACTCATACCTGTAGAGAAAGAATGACATTCACAGCATCAAATAGGCGCCCAGCTTCCATTTTATCTTCTTCAAGTTCAGGAAACATTTTTGCAAATAGTAGTGCAACCTATACACAATACCGTTGGAACATAACGATAAGCAAAAAAGGATACAGAATCTTCTGGTAAAGCAATCAACCACAATCGCTTGGATAATAGCATTTCAAGTTGTTTTAAGCTTGAAAATCATGAAATTTTTATATACACTCGTATAAGTCATTTTTAAAGCGCATTAATGTTATTTTTTGCTCATTTGATGATTACATGAACAATAATCATTAAAATGAGTAAAATATACAAGCACCATCGGATTAAAAAGGGAAATAGTTCTCATTTTTATCATGAAGCATACAATTTAAATGAAGTAGAATATTTTGCTTTATGATTGATATGTTTGAATTCAATCACCTTGAGTCCTTCCGCAGTGCAATCAGAGACTTGCCAGCCGTGATCTGGCGTTGAGAAAGTCCATGAACCTTTACTTATATGCCTATACATCTCCTTAAAATTTCCTGATGGATTCTCCCTAACCTATTGCAATAGAGCATCACATTTTAGATACTCGCGTTATGCACATGAGTAAAGATTTTAGGAGAAGTTTCACAAGATATTTTATGCATTTGAAGTACTCGCAATGATGTTCATAGGCCTCTTAAGAAATTATTCTCTATGAAAAATTGAAGCTTCAAAAAATTCGCTTCTTACATATGTTTCACATAAGTCAAACGTATCTCGTGATATTTTCTACTAGCTCAGTTACTTTTTAGATGCAATAAAAGGGTATATTTTGTGAGATATAAAAAATTTATTTGTTGTAACTAAAAAGTAATGGAGGTAGTAGTAATTTTTTTTTTTTTTAAAAAAAAGGTGTTTGTCGAGTGAAATAAAACCTGTGAGGCTTTGAGAAAACTGTGTGTTTTCTTAAGTGGTGTAGCATATTCATCAGTAAGACCACTGGCATGTATTGCGTGAAACGCTAGTGCTGCATCCCAGGTTTGGCAACCAAGGGCCTGCTCCCAAATTTGTATGAGGGTCATTCGTAGATTGCACACGAAAAAAATGTTACACAACATTGTTAATGTGATTCACCACAATTTTGCCTCGTTACTAAAAATTACCGTAAACTTCATCCCATCCTCAGAAACCCACAAATAATCTGGGATTCTGGCTAGATGTTTCTTGTATGCTGTTGAATTCGGATCTTCTGCCCAACAAGCCATCAAACAAAGTACCTGTGCCACAAGTGCTTAATGTGGCATACAATGAAAGAAAGACAAGACAAAAACCGAGGGCTAAGGGCTTGTTTGTTATCATTGTGAACGGCAATTTGCAACAGTGTACCTTCTCAACGCAACCAATGCAGCAGTATCTGCTGTTAACGTCCTCATAATGTACATTCGCTATTGCTGTTTTGAGCGCCTTTTCTCTGAGTTTTGAGAAGGGCCAACGGTTGAGGATTGGCTCACCAACGTGGTGAAGAAATCCCCAAATCATGTCTTGCAACACATGATGTGGAGCATAAAGATCCTCCTAAAAAAAGTTGTTAGATGTATAAACTACATAATTATGCTCGATTGTGTCCAAAATTAGTCATTACCTTAGCACATGAGTTTCTAGCTTTGTTCCAGTTAATTTCATGGTAGGGATGGGGGTAAATTTCTGTTCTAAGTGACTGAATGAGTTCAGTGATTGGACCAACAAATCTCCTACCATACATGTATGATACTGGCATATACACTAATCGGCAATAGCTCAAAGTTTTTCCTGCAAATTAATAATACACCAAAGGGTAATGTTGGATTTAAAATAAAAAAAAAATCAAAAAACAAAAACTACTTTGGGGTATATAAAGCAAAAGTAAATAAATAAAAATATACTTGTATATTATTACTCTTGTCTCTAGATAATAGGTAAATGACTTATTTGTAATCAAAGTTAAATGCTACATTATGTTGAAGTATTAATTTATACGGTATTGTAGTAATTATATTTGTCTTACTAAAATACATTCGATATATTGAAAACTACAGTTACTTCTCTTTAATTATTTTATGAATTGAAAACTCCCCTTGTGAGGAGGATCTTCTAATGTTTTATTTTCTTACCTTTAATATATATATATATATATATATATATATATATATATATATATATATATATATATATATATTGAAAAACTACGGTATAAAACTAAAGTTGATATATTAAAACAAATACCTCTAAACAAATCTAATAATATTCCTTATGAAAATGGTTTTAAAAATGTAATATTGAGTATTACAACCAAATTGTTAAACTTTGATCACCATATATAAGAGGCAAATAAAAAATTAAAAAAATGCTAAGGTAGTAAATATTCTTTTGCTAAATTCTAAATTTCTTACGGAGTATTTACTGTGCATAACACTCCAATCCATGTACTCCGTATTATAAATGCACCGTCAAAGACTGCTCAAAGTTAGTACGGAGTATGTATGATTTGGTCAATAAAAGTTGAATATAGCCTATTTTTTAAGAGACAAATTACATGTAGCACTACATAAGTATGGAAGTATAGAGTTGTAAGAGAACCTGGATGCATTGGTAAAAAATCAGGGAGTAGCCAAAGCTCTGGAGGCGTTGGGTTGCACCCATCCCACTCGTACACTCCAAGCACCTATAGTAATCGACCCGAAGCCAAAAGAAGGGCCAGCTTGTTATAAGTTTTTGGGTTACTCGAGATAAAAAGATTATGCAACAAACTATATATAGTAGTAAATAAAAATCATGTCTAAAGCGCCACATATCTTACTCTTTAATAGTCATTTTACTTGCTTTTTATGATCTTTTAATAATCATGTTCTTTTGAATACACTTTCATGTTCTTTATGTCGCCGTTTAAGAAACATAACATGAAAGTGTATTCAAAAGAACTCACACGTTATGAATTTCATTTGTAACGAAAGCATGTATGGTGCTCACGTTGTACATTAGTGTATGGCTTAAATTGTGTAGTGTTCTAGCTAGCTACTTCCAATATAACAAGAAACCACATTGTAAAGAATTGAAGGAGATCAATGTGAACAAACCGAGAGCCAAAATTTTCCCCAAGATGGAATGCTCGTAGCACCACCATGGTCAAGGATCCATTGACGACCCCTTGCAACCGCGTTATCTTCACCATCATCAGGACCTTCTCCCAACAACCTTAGGGCAATGTAGCTAATTGCTGAACCAAACATGGTACTATGGCTGTCTATGTGGAATCCCCATCCTCCGTCATCATTCTGTAATATATTTCGAAATAAATACTTCGTACTTTGTATTATATAGGCAGAAAATAGGACAGTAAAATGTTCTACTGGATGTAAAAAACTAAAAATGACTCAATAAGATATAACAAAATTAGAGATAATAAGAGTATTACACTATATATTTAAGGCAAAATTGGCCACAACACCCTGAAGTATGGCTTAGGTGCACTGAGCACCCTGAACTATGCGTAGTAGCCAAAACACCACCAATTATGGTGTAAGGTGCGATGCGTGCCTTAAATGAAAATTTCCGGCCACTTATTTCATCGGAGGAGGTGAATCCATGCGTGCTAAGTGGATGGAAGACTACATAATTGTTCTAGAGAGTGAAGATTCACCTCCTCCCGGTGAAATAAGTCGTCGAAAATTTTCATTTATGGCACGCATTACACCAACATCATAGTTGTTGGTGTTTTGGCTATTACACATAGTTCAAGGTGTACCTAAGTGGATTGCTAAACATCGCCCGCAAATCTCCACATAAAGCCCACAAACTTATATTGAAGTTACAATATTGCCCTTGACCTTAAAAAAAAAAAAACACAACCTCAATAAAAATCAAAGTACGGGGATGTCGAGGCTCGTGGTGGCAAGGTGGTTGGCTCGTGGCGGCAAGGTAGTGGTGGCTCGTGGCGGCAAGGTGGTGGTGGCGCCAAGTCCGGCAGCCACGTCCACCGGCCTGGCGTCTGGGCAGGACGCCCAGCCAATCACTGTGGCTGGGCGTCCTGCCCAGACGCCAGGCCGGTGGACGTGGCTGCCGGACCTGGCGCCACGGGCCGTCCTGGCCAGGCGCCCCAGCTGCCTTAATTTTTTTTTTTTGGAAAATCAGAAAATTTTTCTAATTTTTTTTTAATGTGTTTGATATTTTTTTTTAATATTTATTAATTTTATGTGTTATTTTTTATAAGTTTAGTATATATATTTTTTATAAAATCAAATAAAAAACATAAATTTCCACATCCTAAATCAAAACATAAATTTAATAAACATAATTTAAAAAAAAAAAAGGCAAAAAAAAAAATTAAAAAGTAAGGGCGGCGTCCAAACTTGACGCCAGTGCACTGGTGGTGGCGCCTGGCCTGGACGCCAGTGCACTGGTTGACGCGCCTGGGCTAGACGCCAGTGCACTGGTTGTGGCGTCTGACCTGGACGCCAGTGCACTGGTTGTGGCGCCTTGCCTGGACGTCCTTGCCATGGTTCCGGCGTCCAAACTAGGCGCCACCTCGTTTTCCGTCGAAGACGACGTATCTCCGGCGACCCTCGCCTCTCCGGCCTCCCTGGGCAACCCAGTACGACTCCACATTTGTTAGATCGAGATTTGTTCACTTTGGGTACGATTTTAAAAATGGGCAAAATTGTCAAACCATGTCTAATTTGTGGGCTTTATGTGGAGATTTGCGGGCGATGTTTAACAAATCCCGTACCTAATCCATACTTCAGAGTGTTGCGATCAATATTGTCTATATTTAAATACCTGATGATTGTAAATATAACGCTTTGTCTCCTTTTGGTGTTCAGGGGATAAAACCTTATTGAGATCTCCTGTAACGTATAGTGCCATTACCTGAAAGTTTATTTATCAATGTGATATCATGACTTTGTATGGAATACTCTTCGTGTGAATTTGGTGCATAGTACTATGACTATCATTTACGGAATCTAAAGTAAAAAAGAGTTAATGAGCTAATAACTAATAAAAGTATTAAATGCAACCAGCTAATCAAATCGGTTAATATAACCAGTTATATCAACTACTCCTTCCATCTCTAATATTTTACCCCATTTAACTTTTTATGGTCTTCAAGACGCATCTTAAAACTGTTTTATCTCCATCTTAATAGACATAAACAATAAAAACTAGATATTAATAAAATACACAATGAGATATATCCAACAAGATACCACATGATTATATTATTTCGTATTGATTAAGAGTATTTATGGTAAAAGATTTAAAGTTTGACCCATAGTCTTGTAATGGGCAAAAAATTGGAAATAAAGGGAATAACTACTACTCCCTCCGTCCCAAATATCTAACACAGTAAACATTGCATACATGTCAATGTAATAGTTTGACTTTATTTTTATATAATTAAATATTCCTGAAAATTATTTTAAAAATTATATTATGAAAATTTATATTAATACCTATCTAACAAGTAACAACATATTATGTTTTTATTATGTTAGTAAAAAATATGGTCAAAACTAATACATAAATAGTGAAAAAAAGTCCAACGTCCTAGACATTCTAGGACGGAGGGAGTAGCTAATTACTAAAATACCAAATAAGGTCAAATTTTTTTTTTTAAATTTGACCCATATTTTTAAAATGGGATAAAAAAAATAAGGGACATAGAGTGTAGCTACTAGCTAATTATCAAAATACCAAATAATAAGGCCAAAAAGTGACTAGAGTGGTCCATCACATTTCACATCAGATAATGATGTTTAACCGTTAAAATGTTAAAATGTGGATGAAGTTGACTCATCTTAATTACGTCTTTTCTCTATGTCTCACATATGTCTCACATATGTCTCATATGTCTCATAGCTAATTACCAAAATACCAAATAATAAGGCCAAAAAGTGACTAGAGTGATCCATCACATATTCACATCACATAATAAAACGTGGATGAATCTTAGTCACGTCTTTTTATCTATGTACTCTATGTCTCATATGCATATAATCATATGTAGTATTCTGAATTTTATTGAATCGACACCTCTCATACATTAAGTCAGCTCAACTCTGAAAGTCAACGCTTGAGAGTAGAGGGGGAGGTAAAAAAAACTCCCTATTTCTAAACAAATGTAGTTGGCAGAACTCAAAATCACAAGGTGAATTTCCCACCAACTCCACCAAGCTTTGCTTAGTATGTATTTAATCATAATGGTAAAGCTGGTGGAAGTTAATTAGAAAAGTTACTGTATTAGTGTATATGAGTACTTCCTCAAATATCTATTTTTTGACAGACTAATATCTATTTTTACTAACTTATAAAACACAAATATTTTTATATAAAATGTTATTAAATTAGTATAATATGTATATCCATTATATCACATTAATTTTTTATGATTCCTGATAATATATAATTAAATATATTAGTAATTAAACTTGTGTATAATGTATCAGCAAAATGTTACAAATAGTACGAAATGAAAGAAGCGATAACAATAATTCTCCTTCCCATCCATAATTTTTATTTTTGGAAAATAAAATTGATTTACCAAGGGAGGCATGAAATAAAGTGGGCCAGCGTTATCAGAGGGCCAGTGACCATCATGGGCTTGAATACTGGTAAAGAAGTTGATGGCCTTCTTCAGTGTTGTGGTCACTGCTTCTTCTCCTATTACCTCTCTTTCCTTCAACTTCACTCCTTTAGCCATTTCCACAAGTGGCTTTCCTTTTCTCAACTGTCCAAACATTATGTAAAAAATTTTAGTCAAAACAATCGCATAAAAGTTTCCTAGATTATATTCTTAACCCCGCAAAAAAACAAATAAACCATATTCGTATATTAAAATAGACATAACTTATACGGAGTATAATTGAACCACATAAAGTGTATTTTTTTTTTCGGACGTAAAATAAATACAACTAATTTTATAAATCAAACCCTAGAAGTAAAATACTAAAATACCAAACTTGAATTCATGAACTTAGGGTTAGTAGTAAGAAAAAGTCAAACTACTTTGAGCTATAGGTTAACTAAGAAAGTGTAAAAACACAAAAAATTTTGACCTCCATTCTCATTAGAAGATCAGCACTTTGCCTCATGTTAAAACGGTTCCTCTTGAACTCCTCTCTTGCCCTCTCGACCTCGGCCCGTTCCTCCGTTGTTCCGGCCTCTGGATCAAACTCCCAGTGTTGTCGACCGGTGAAGTTGTTTAGACTCTCTAGCCATGGATCCTTGCCTTCTGCTATCTTCAACTTCCACATGATAACCAACTTTAACTAAGCATACACTCTAGATGAACTATTAAATACTCTTAGTTCTTTCTAGCTTGATTAGGGAAGAAGGTGAAATATAGATAGGTAGTACATACTGAACTTCGATTCGCTGAGTTTTATAAGCTGAGATCTAGGGAAGCAAGAAGATAATGATAGGGGCCCTAGGGCAGTTTTGCATGATTCTAACAATGAACTAACACCTAACCTCTCCCTCTTGCTATCAACTCCTTTTATTGGCCTGTGCTAACTAACTATGAGGCTTATAAACCATTGGGCCCATCGGGTTTGACATTTTCAAATGCATGTAGTAAAATCAAGTACCATAATTTAAAATAAAATTAGATAATTCGAGTGTGCTCAAAAGAATAATACATGTTAATTAGAGGTGTTGGAGGTTTATTTTAAGGCGGTTGATCAACTCGAATTGAATTTGGGGAGAAATAAGCGAATGATTTTTATGATTTTAACACACAATCTTTCTGAAAATACTATAAATCTCAAGAGTAAAAAAGCCAAAATATATCCATATTAACATTTACTATTTTACATCATTTACCCAATACCCATGAAGTAATTTAGAATTTAACAACTTTATTACAACTTCAATCAACAATGTCACAACTTAATTAAGTCAACAAATTTACTACTTATTTAACTACTCCAATTAACAATTTCACAGCTTCAATCAACAATTTCAAACTTCAATCAATAATATTGGTATATTACAACTTCACTCAACAATTTTACAATCTATAGTCTTCAATCAACAATTTTACAACTTTACAAAGGTAGGAATCAAAACCTTTTTTGGTGAGAGAGAGGAGAGAGCTGAGATACTATTGGGGATTTAATGGGATAAAGTTGATTAAAAAAAAAAAAGAAAAGAAATAACACTGTACTATTGGGGATTTGGGGGGACAAAGTTGATAATGAAAAGAAAAGTGTCATAAAACCATCTCAACCAAAAACTTAAGCTGATGGTTAAGGCCTAGGAATACGTTTTATACTCTATCACGCCCCCCTCACACAAGAGCCCATTGGGCTAGAAGTGTCGATGCAGCATGAGTCTTCCTCATACCCAACGCTTAATATTCCACTTGAAAGTGGGGGGTGGATGAGATTCGATCGAACCCGTGACCTTTGTGTCACGTTGGCTCCGATACCATGTGTTTCGGGTGTTTTTAGTCCCTCGGGAGAGTTACAATATTGGGTATGAGCGCCTGACTTCTGTACCTGCAAAACCACGAAACTCCGGTTGGGTGGAGTTCCGCCTCCGAAGATCAAGTTAGTATGATTCCGGATGAGTAAGCGTGCGGAAAGTAAAATGGGTGTTTCTCTCTTATTAAGGGAGATTCCGTAATTAATATTACTCGGTGTATGTATTTATGAATGCCAATAAATGAGGATGATTCCCCTATTTATAGCAGATGTGAATCTGCTCCCCTATTGGGGGTTCAATGCCACGTGGCATCCTCTGATTGGATCCCTTTGGGCTTGTATGAGGGTGACACGTGTCGGGCCCTCATTGGGCCATGTGTATGGGGTAATTTTTACCCCTAAACACCATGTCATATAAACAATATTTAAAAAGGTACTAGAGAGTAGCGACCTAGCGTGCTCCGCCTGCAGGGGTGTGATGTAGAATATTCTCCTCTAGGTTTAGGATATATTTTGTATAAGATTATCTTTATGATATCTTTACATATCTTGTAGTTACCTAATATGATTAGGTTTCTCATTGTAATCCTGATAAATATTGATCAATGGAAATCACTCCGATTAAGGAGTTTATATTATCTGACATGGTACTACAACTTAGGTTAGATCTTGGAATTTTTTAGATCTAATTAAAATTTTCTCTTCCCCTACTAGTGGGTTTAACGGGATTCACAAACAATTACCAAAAGATGCTTTTTTTGCTTCTGCGATTTAATTATGGAGTACGGTGGTTGACCAGGCCAGCACCGGCAGTCTCTCTTGTGCTCCGACTTCCCACCACACACAAAAGATTTGTGCAACACCTCTACCTCTTGGTTCTCCACCTGATACGCCACCTTGCTCACTCATAGTTCTCCTTCTTTAGCCTAATCTGTGAGTGAATTGCAAGGTTGCATAACGTAAAAAGAAAAGAAAAAGAAAAAAAAGGTACTAAAGAGTAGCGACCTAGCGTGCTCCCCCTCCCCTCCCCCCCTCATTGATTTTGGGATTTTTTTTCTTAACTTTATTATTTTTACAGTAATAAAATTAATTTTACTAGACGTACATTATTTTTATTTGAAAAATTCAAGGTAAAAACAATAGGGCCTAACAATATTAATTTTCCATTATTTAGTATGATCTGAAAAAACGATTATATATACCAATCCAATCATATCCCCCCTTTCATTGATTTAAAGTAAGATCCTGATCTATACAACTTTTTTCAGTAGACCGGAATGATTTTATGTGTAATTTGTCAAACAAAGTAATATCCTAACCAGAGTTTGCCTCATGCTAATGCACGGTAATTAATAACATTAGAGAGTTAAACATGAATCAACTCATAATTTTTGTGAGAAGATTTATACTCCCTCCATCCCATAATACTTGACACGCTTCCCATTTTTGTCCGTCTCACAATACTTGACACGTTACTAAATACTTCCTCCGTTCTTTTTTACTTGACTCGCTTTGACTTTTACACTATTCACTACCCCTCCTTTGACCGTCTTTTGTGAATATTATGTAAGGAATAACATATTCATGTTGGATCTTTTTGAATTCTTCTCAATAAGTACAATCATAATATATAACTTTTATATTTTTTTTACTTATGAAGAATTAAAGTTATTGATTATTAAAGTTTTGCAGTGACAATCGTGATATAATAAACAAGTCAAGTAAAAAGTAGCAGAGCAAGTATGAAATAGGACCACTAATAAAAAATATTTTCCCACATTTTCTCTCTCCTCACCTACCCCACTATCACCCCACTTGTTGTTTTCTTGTAATATAAAAATACAAAAGAGAATCTTTTATACAATAAACAAATGTTTTAAATAGACCCACTTGTAATTTTCTTAAACTACGTGTTATGGGGCGGAGGGAGTATATAAATAGTATAAACTAATATAATTCAAAATTGCAGTTATTAGATAAAAAAAAATTAAGAAGGTATTGTATTATTATAGCTTGTTTTAATTGAAGATTAGACAAAATCGGTATCTTAATATAGTCTTTTACCATGACGGTATCAATCCTTCAATTGACTTAATACACGAGTACACAACCAAAAAAAATTGCAATTTATGAATAATTTTGATTTTTTTTTTTTTTTTTTTTTTTTGGATAATTCTCAATGGTAGTCCTCTATTTGTGCTACATTGATATAGTAGCCCTCATTTTTTTAAATTATACAAAATAGCCTTAATTACGATTTAATACTCACAACTAATTTTATTTTCATAAATGTTTAGTTAATATTAACTATTATTAAAAAAAAAAAAACACCTGAGCCACCCAGCTACCATCTGATTTTCATCTGATTCATTTGAATGTATTTGAAAAATTGATAAATGTTGCGATTTCGTATAATTTTTCAGTTTACAGGGATTCATCAAAGAAAATGCTCCCTCAAAAGAGGAAAAATCATGTCTTTCGAGTGAGAAAGTTCCTCCTAGAAGAGGAAGAGTTATTAATTTAATAGAAACAAGCAAAAGTAAAGAGAAAAGCACAAAAAAAACAAAGATTGGGACTTTTTACTAGTAAAAACTGATGGAATCCCGTCTAAAATTCAATAATGGAAGAGGAGAGAGGAGAAGATGAAGGGGTTTTTAGTTTGGATTGTGTGTAACTTGCGTAGCTCAAAATAATCGAAATTATAAAATATGGTTCCCTAAGACCATGCATAAAGAGCCAAATGTACAACATACGCTATTTAGGTCTGGTGAAGGAAAAATACTGGAGAGCTCTTGTAAATAAAGATGACTCTAGGTTGTACCGGGTCGTGTGTCGTGTCGGACCCATGTGCTTTGGGGTAAGTTAGGCCCAACCCATGGCTCGGCCCACGAGTTCTGTGCCGTGCCGTACCAGGCCGAAGTTTTCAAAAGGTTGGCCAGTGCATGACCCAGGCCCACATGCCATCATGCCGGGCCGTGTCGGGCTTGCGTGCCTAAGCAAAATTGAATTGATTTTAGCATGCTTTGTCGTGCCGTGCCGGGCCGTGCCTTATCGTGTTTCTCCCAAATAAAGGCAACCCACACGCATAGTTAGGGGTGTTCAAAAATTAGTCCGGGCCGAAAAATGGACCAGACTGGTTCGGACCGACTCCGGACCAGACCGGACCAAATTAATCGGTCCGGTCTCTGAGTTGAGAAATTTATTTTTTCCGGTCCGGTCAAAAACCCTATAAAAACCGGTGTTGGACCGGACCGATTTTTTGCTTAAAATTATACATAAAACATATAATAATAATTAATATTATCCTTATTAAGCTTGAAAAACTTTAGTCGCATGAGGTTTTTTATACTCAACATAAAATAAAAGACATTAAATATTGCTTTTCCTTTATTTTTTTCGAGTTTTACATAAATTATTTAAAATTTAGGAATTTTTTTTTGTAAAAATTCTAAAATCGGTCCAAATCGGTCTGGTCCTAGCTTATTCGGTCCAGTTTTCGGTTCTTGAAATTCAATTTTCCGGTCTTTGGTCCGGTCCGGGTTGCTGTGGTCTGGTCCAATCTTGAACTGATGAACAGCCCTACAGACAGTAGTATGTCTTTTTAAATATTTACGTCATTGCTCATTTCCTAAAATTACGGTTTAGTTTTATTACTGTTTTTTTTTTTTTTTTTTTTATTTTTACGAGTACTTTTGTTTGAAAAAGGATATATGTGTGTGTGTGTGTCTGTGTGTTTAGGGTAAAAATTACCCTAGACACGTGGCCCAATAAAAGCATGCCACGTGTCAACCTTGCAACGGTCAGCAAAGGCCCAATCCCTTTGCGACACGTGTCTATTGTACCTGTTTGGGGGTGAAATTGCCCTAGCCACGTGGCCCAATGGCTGAGCGACACGTGGCACCTTGCCATTGGTCAGGGCTCCAATCCCCTGCTGACACGTATCCTAGGAACCCTAAATGGGGAACCAATGCTCCCCACTATAAATAGTGGGAGAATCCTCATTAATGGGGCAATGGAATGGGCATTCAATACAATCATAAGTACACTTACACCAAAACCGA